CTGTCCTTTCCATAATGAAAGTGATCCAGTGTAATCAACCTGCCACCAGGTTGCTGGCTGATCACCCTGAAGAGTGGTTCCACATCGTGGATTCAGTGTTGGTCTCTGCTGCTGGCAGATTGGGCACTCAGCAGTGGCAGTAGCCAAATCAGCCTTGGTAAGTGGGAGTCCATGTTGCTGAATCCACGCATACCCTCCAACCCTGCCACTGTGGCCACTTTGTTCATGAGCCCATTGAGCAATGACAAGAGTGTTGTTGTTGTTATGTGTTGGCGAGTTGTCTCCAACTCATAGTGACCCCTCCTTGGGTTTCCAAGGCAGTATCACTGGTGGGTTTGAACTGCCAACCTTCTAGTTAGCAGTCAAGTGAGTAGCTGGGGGAAAAGGATGGCTGGTTTCCACTGAATGTGTCATCCTATCCACTTGATTGTTAAAGTCCTCCTCTGCCAAAATCACTTTTTGGTGGCCCTTTCAGAGAAATCTATCCACATACATCTTCCCCATGTATTCTTGTCACCAATTTTCCAATCATGTTCCTTCCAAGACCCAGATCTTCTGGCCAAGCCGTTAGCCATAGCCCATGAATCCATACACAATTGTTAATCTGGCCATTTCTTTTTCCATGCAAAGTGGACAGCCAGATGCATGGCTCACAGTTCTGTCCATTGGGAGGATTTCTCTTCATTACTGTCCTTCAGGAAGTCCCACAAAGGGGCTGCAGTGCCACTGCTGTCCATTTTCAAGTGGCACCTGCATATTACGCAGAACCACCTGTAAACCAGGCATGAGTTTTCTCTTCCTCAGTCAACTGATGATATGGAACACGCCATGAGGCCATAGGTGCATACTGGGAGAAAGAAGGTAATGTGACTGGAGTGGAGACCATAGGCATTTGGGCCACTTCCTTATGCAACTTAATTGTGCCTTCAAGCCCTGCTCAAGCCCGATCTCTGATATACCACTTCCATTTAATGATGAAGTGCTGCTGTGCACATCCAACTTTATGACTCTGTAGGTCAGACAACATGATGGGTAGCTCAGGTCTCATGGTGACTTGGTGGCACATGGTTAGGCGTTCAGTCTCTACTAAAGCCTGGTCATAAGCCAAAAGCTGTTTCTCAAAAGGAAAGTAGTTATCTGCAAAGGATGGCAGGGCTTTGCTCCAAAATCCCAAGGGTCTGCACTGCAATGAACCACAGGGACCTGTCAAAGACCCCAAACAGCATCTCTATCTGCTACAGACACTTCAAGCACCATTGGATCAGCTGGATCATATGGCCCAAGTGGCAGAACAGCTTGCACAGAAGCCTGAACCTGTTCTGGGCCCCACTCAAAACTAGCAGCTTTCAGAGTCATTTGATAAACAGGCCAAAACAACACACCCAAATGAGGGCTATGTTGTCTCCAAAACCAGAGGGCCACCAGATATTATGCCTGCTTTTTAGTTGTGGGGTTATTTTAGTTTAGTTATTTTAGCCAAATAGAATAACTTATACTTCACTTTAGTAGGAATATCTCAACATGCCCAACACCACTGTTGTTGTTGTTATGTGCTGTTGAGTTGGTCCCAACTCATAGTGACCCCTCCTTGGGTTTCTGTGGCGGTATCACTACAGAAGTAGGATTGCCCAACTTTCCTTCTGAGGAGTGGCTGGTGGGTTTGAACCACCAGCCTTCTGGTTAGTAGTCAAGTGCCTTAGGCACTATGCTACCAGAACTCCTAGAAATTTCACTGAAGTGGAAGGTGCCTGAATTTTTGACAGGTTAATTTCCCATCCTCTAGCATGCAGATGTCTCACCAATAAGTTTAGAGTCATTGATACTCCTTCCTTACTAGGTCCAATCAGCATAATGTCATCCATATAATGGACCGGTGTGTTGTCTTGTGGAAGGGAAAGGTGATCACATTCCTAAGGACTAAATTATGACATAATGTTGGGGAGTTGATATACCCCTGAGGACCCACTGTGAAAGTATACTGTTGGCCTTGTCAGCTGAAGGCAAACTGCTTCTGATGGTCCTTTGAAATTGGTATTGAGAAAAAGGCATTGGTCAGATCAATAGCTATATACCAAGTACCAGGAGATGTACTAATTTGCTCAAACAATGAAACCACATCAGGAACAGCAGCTGCAATTGAAGTTACCACCTGATTAAGTTTATGATAATCTACTGTCTCCAAGATCCATCTGGTTTTTGCACAGGCCAAATGGGCAAATCAAATGGGCATGTGGTAGGAATCACAACCCCTGCATCCTTCAGGTCCTTGATGGTGGCAGTAATCTCTGTAACCCCTCCAGGGATGTGATATTGCTTTTGGTTTACTATTTTTCTAGTTAGAGGCAGTTCTAATCGCTTCCACTAGGCTTTTTCCACCATAATAGCCCTTACTGTACATGTCAGGGACCCAATGTGGGAATTCTGCCAATTTCTCAGTATATCTATTCCAATTTTGTATTCTGGAACTGAGGATATCACTACAGGATGGGTTTGGGGATCCACTGGACCCATTGTGAGATGCACCTGAGCTAAGCATCCATCAATAACTTGACCTCTATATCAATAACATATGCCCCCACTCTGACTGGTGGGCCACAGTGACACTTTGGGTCTCCTGGAATTCAAGTCAGTTCAGAGCCAGTGTCCAGTAATCCCCAAAAAGTTTGATCATTTCCTTTTCCCCAATGAACAGTCACTCTTGTCAAAGGCCTCAGATCCCTTTAAGGAAGGCTGGGAGAAAGATCGACATTATAAATTTTTGGCAATGTAGTGTGGTCCTTCCTCAAGGGGACCTGGCCTTCCCTTCATTCAAGGGGTTGTGGGTCTGTAAAGAGACTCCTCCTCACAATCATTGCTATGTTTGAGCCTATTGATGCAGGCTAAAACTCCCCAAAATCTTAAAATTATGGATGCATGTCATACATTTAGGAAAATTTTCCACTGAAGTGGTTAAGATAATGTTATAAACTAAGATAGTAAACCCAAGTTACCTGAATAATCCCTTCTGTGGAATTCCTTCTTCAGAAATGCCAGGTGATGAGACTTGATCACTGGCTTTTACAGTTTAATTAATATAGAATCAGAAAAAGCAAACAAATTTCTGCTAGACAATTCAGAACTAACTTCTGAAGGAAAGGGGTTCACAAGAGAAGAGGGAAATAAGAAATGTATATGTTTGTTGTTGTTGTGTCCTGTCAACTCATAGTGACCCTATAGGACAGGGTAGAGCTGCCTCATAGGGTTTCCTAGGCTGTAATTTTTACTGGAGCAGATATCTAGGTCTTTTCCCCTGTAAAACAGCTACTGAGTTCAAAGCAGCTGATCAGTTAACCATTGTACCACCAGGGCTCCTTAGAAATATATATAATACATATAAATAACTTTAATGATAATTGCTATCATTTATTGAGTACATGGCACATGCCAGGAACTATACATACATTATTTCATTTCTTACACAAAATGGGCAATAAGGAGCTCAATAGGTGAAATTCTAATGGGTTTAAAGGAAGATAAGATAATTTCTCACTGAGGAGATCAAAGAAGATAACAAAGAAAAAACGGCATTTGCACTTAGCCTTGAAAAATTCATCAGAATAACGATCAAACTACCCCACATTTTCACACAACCTTTGGCAAATCTACTTGGTTGCCCCCTCCAGTAAAAATAAAAAAGGTTATTTTGTTGATATTTTGAACTTCTGATGAGTACTGAGGAGCTATGGTAGCATAGTGCCTAAGGCACTTGACTGCTAACCAGAAGGCTGGCGGTTCAAACCCACCAGCCACTCCTCAGAAGGAAGTTGGGCAATCTACTTCTGTAGTGATACCGCCTCGGAAACCCAAGCAAGGGTCGCTATGAGTTGGGGCCGACTTGACAGCACATAACAACAACAAGAATGAGTACTGAATGAAAAAGTACTTTAATAATGAAACTAATCACTGATTAACATCTCTCCAATGAAGGAAAAGAGACTACATGAGTAAAATTAAGTATGGCAGACTGCGTTTTCCAGAGATGGCTATAACAATATCTCCCATCTTATATCTTCCAACAATGTAACTTTGACAATCTCCCCACAACAGGTGGGGTTTATATACCTTCCCCTTTAAACTGGATGAGGTTTTGCAGTGTGTCAACCAATCAAATATTTCATAAATAACCCTATGGAACTTCCAAGGCTAGGTCATTAAAGGCCAAGCAACATCCTCTTTGTCTACTAGAATACCTGTTCTTGAAGAGTTCAGTCACCTGTAAGCAATCCAACTACCTTGAGTAGATCATGATGTGAGGAAGTCCAAACTAGCCAAGGCAAAGAAACCAGAGAGAGAGGCCCTAGGATTCTCTGAGAAGAAAGAGAGGCCAAACCAGTTCAAGATGCTCCAGCAGCCCAGTGTCCCACATCTAGCCATTAGTCTGACTGGAACTCATGAAAGATCATGAGAAAGAACTGCTCAGATGGGCTTTTCCTGACCTCCTGACCCACAGACATCATGAAAGATAATAAAGTGGTTGGCCCTCTTATTTTCAACTACTATGTTTGGTGTGTTTTATTATGCAGCAATAGTAATTAGAACATTAACTATTTATTATGAAGTAACACCTGTTCTATATTTGTTGTTGTTGTTATGTGCCATTGAGTCAAAATCGACTCATAGCGACCCCTCCTTGTGTTTCTGAGGCAGTATCACTACGGAAGCAGATTGCCCCATCTTCCTTCTGAGGCTGGATTTGAACCACCAGCCTTCTGGTTAGCAGTCAAGTGCCTTAGCCACTATGCTACCCAAGCTCCCCCTATTCTATATAGCACTTCTAAAACTTTAATTGGTATGCAAAAAACCTGGAGATCTTGTTAAAATTCAGAGTCTTACTGAGAGTAGAGAGAAATCTCAGATTCTGCTTTTCCAACAACCTCTCGGGTGAAGCATATGCTGCTTGTCCACAGGCCACACTTTGAGCACCAAAACCCTAAATAACAGTTGAAATATGAATATTATACCTTTCTCTGGAGGCATTCTGTCTTATTTTCTTCTTGGCAACATGAATGAATAGCCGTCTCGTAGCAAGCAGACATGGTCAGAATAGTGGGCCCGTACAAGAATGGATATTTTCTTGAAGTTTCATAAATGTACCTGTAATTGGACAAACACAAAGTTGTATAATTTTTAATTCAAGATCATCTTTTGACACTATTTCTTAACAATTCAGGATTCATTAAGTTTTGTTGACCTGCAACTTCTAGGACCTCGTTGTGATGGAGATAAAGTAATACAATATGTGCTTGAATGCATTAATTGTTCACCCTGGACAGATCCCTGTGAGGTTGGTCAGACAGTCCCTGAGTGCCCATGAAGTAACCCCCTGCATTTCCTGGCTGGTGAAGAAGGAAAATCAGTAATTAGTATCTTTCCCTTTTATATGGCAGCGGGAAGGAGAATGTTAACTAGTCCCAGCTGATTGTAAATGCAAGCTTGTAGAGTTGGTGCAGGTGAAAGAAATTTTAAAAGTATTGAAGGGTACAGAGAAATCTCTCCAGATCATCTAGAAATTCTTTCTGTACATAGTAATTAAATTCTGATAAGCATCATTAAAACCTCATCTATGGTAGTTAAATGTCATTGTCCTCTAAGATATATCATTCAATATTTTGATTTAAATTCTCAGTCTCTATTTTCCTCTCTTATTCATTCTTCACACTCAGCATAGAGCCTGAGCACCAGACTCACCTTTCATCTGTAATCATACCTCTGCATAGTAGTCTGCAAACTTATTCAAACACTCACCCCCTACACACATACATGCACATACACACATATAGAGATAAAAATGTTAACATTTTACATTACTGACAGAGATTGGCTAGATGCTCACACCAATCCATTTTTTCTTCCTTCTTTGTAGTTAGGGCAGGAACGTGTAACTGAATTTGAATTTAGGCTTAGACATAAATTCCTTTGTACAATTTCCTACTCTCTCTATTTCTGGTCCATGGTGACTTTGGAAGCACATGCTTCAGATGTAATAGTCCCAAAATGGAAACATTCTGGATTCCTGAATTATTTCTTAAAATATAGTCACCCAAGAGAGCGATTCAACACACCTTGAGAAATGAGCAAAAAATAAATATTTATTGAATTAAGTCACTGAAGCTTTGGGGTTTACTTGTTACTACAACATAGTCACAAAGTGGCTCAGGACTTCTGGAGAAGATTTATTTTAAGACTGGCCCCCCAGGCAGGTAGGTGGGCATATGGTGGCTCAGGCTGAGTTCCTGGCCAGGTAATGAGAGGTGGGGAAGTGAGCAGAGAATTTGGAACAACTAAGGAAGATGAACTTGTCTGTCAGTTTGTCATCCTGTGGTAGCTTGCATGTTGCTGTGAGGCTGCAGGCTATGCTACCAGTGTTGCAAAATGCCAGCAGGGTTAACCATGGTGGACAGGCTTCAGCAGAGCTTCCACACTAAGACAGTCTCAGAAGAAGGAAGAGACCTTCCACTTCTCAAAGAATTGGCCAGGGAAAGCCTTATGAAAGCAG